CGTCACTCTGTATATTGCAGTCATAATCAGGACACCAAACCGATATTCATTTGTCATCTTCATCTGATAAGAATCCATTCCCAAAAACTTTTTTTTTTTTATTATTCATTTTTTTGTGCCAGGCGACAGTTACATACATATTGTACATTGAATTGTGACTGTTTCCTGACTTTTTTTCAAAATTCAATGTTCAAAGTGCAAGTGTTGACATATAGTGTGTCAAAGAAAACCATTTTTGTGTTAATATAATTATATAATAGTTGTATATACCACTTTTAGGTTATATATAATTATATAATAGGTGTATATATAGAGTTAAAGAAACGATATTCCAGTCATATTCTCTCTGTAACTATTCTGGCATCAACCAAGCCTGGTCAAACACAAGTACCTGCGGACCTTAACCATGGTTCCCCTCAAGTCGCATCTGTCAGTGAATGAATCTTGACCAATGGGTTTATCCTTCCCATTAAATTCTGTAGCACACTCACCCAGGTGTTCAACCCCTGGTAGGATCTGAACTTGAGTCTATCGACCACGAGTCCAATGCAACAACAATTGTATAGTCATAACATAAATACAATGCTGCCAGTGTTTGTTTGTTTGTTTGTTGCAGGTTGATTGTAAGATAATTCATTTGATATTTTTTATTGTAAGTGAAAAAAACAAAATACAAGTTTCATAATGGTTAACCCCTTTAAAATAATAGGCTCTACATATCAGGATTGACATGAATCACAGAAAGATTTTATCTTGTTAAACCACCAGAAATTATGCTCGTGCTTGATCTTCCCTTTTCATATTTTGATGACATAACCACAGAGGGCTCTCTTTCTGCTACTACTGTCAATCACTGTTGTCAATCAGGTTATGAGTTGAGAGTCAAAATGTTCAAAAATTCTGTGATTTAGTTCTGGCCGTATGATACAAATTGCAGGGGATGGCCATAATGCTACTGTACTATTATGGTTGTACACTGAGGAAAGGAAAGTGGTCAAAATGTCTAAGAACTTAAAAAAATATTATATAATAAAAGTTCATGCTGTATTTATAACTGCCAATAATTCATAATAATTGTATAATAAATTATAATTTGAGTTGTAGCACCATCTTCTATAGTTCTTCAAAGAAAGCGACTCTTGCTCTGGTTGTGCCAGCCTTTATCTGGAAAGATTAAAAGATGATATGAGATGCAAGTTATTTTCTTTTAATGGGAAAAACATCTAATGGAATGGGAAGATCATTTTATGTGATATTCACCTGAAAGTAACAAAGAATGTTAATCTGTATACAGACTATCGTAAGATACATCACTGCCAAAACCACAAGTGATTTTGTTACCTGGTCGCTATTACTTTTACCACCAACACATTAATACATTTTCCTAACATTTCTTCATTACTTTTGAAACAAATAGGCAGTTTCCTAGCCAACAGCATTTGATCCAAATAATTGAAAACGAAAATTGCTTAATACATAACTACTGAACCCATTGTATGCAAAAAGACAATATTACCGGTAGTCACTTTCCATAAAATAAACCAGCATCATTTTTCTCAAATTCTGTGAAATTATGTCCATTTCATCCAAAATTAACAAAGAAAATATAAAAAAAATACATAAATGTCGAAATAAAATATTCAAAGAAAAAAATCATAAAAAAAAGATACTGTAAAATGACTAATTTTCACTGGGTTTAAATTTCGGTGATTTACCATTTCAGGCATATTCAGTGGATTATAAATTCACGGTTAAATTTTTTAGATAATGTGTTCCGTGCTAAATTTTACATATTCACTGGGTTTTAATTTAGCGCATTTTCCAGTCAGCGAAATAAGCAAAATTAAAACCAAGTGAATAATTGATCCTTTTACAGTAGATTCATTTATTTTTTGCTCTTGTTGACAAGATTAGTACTCCATTGTATAATCCGATGCATAAGCAAAGTTATAAAACATGTCAAAGCTTTCATGCACAGTAACAGGCAGAGAGAGACAATTTAACAATTGACAACAAAGGTTTCTCTGGCGGCTACATTAAGACACATAATGAATGTATTTGCTTCTCTTGCTTCTGTTCAATTTTAATACCCTTTGGGGGAACCTTGGTTAAGGTCCGCAGGTGCTTGTGTTAAGGATAGCGCATTAAATTGCCATTTGATAGAGAGATGGCCGCACAGCCCTGTCCAAAACATGAATATGACTTCTGTGGCAAAAATGCACTTTGTGTCAGCACTAGCACTTGCAATATGCACATAAACAAGCAGCCTGTCGGCTGAGATAGCTCAGCTGTTAGCAATGCACATTGCAATTAAAGAACAGAAGATATCATTAGAAAATGAACAATATGTATAGTATCAAAGCAACAGGACTTGCTGTTTTCAACAAGAATTCAAAAATATCACTTTTCACCAAAAATATTCATTAAAATTAGAGAATTAAAGATTTCATCATGAAATGAACAAACCTGAGAGAGGACCACATATAGTACCTATATATGTAATATCAAAGCAATTGGACTTGCGGTTTTAACAAGAAGTCAAAAATATCACTTTTTACCAAAAATGACAAAATATTCATCAAAATTAGAGAATTGAAGATATCATTACAAAATAAACAAATCTGAGAGAGGTCCACATGTAGTACATATATATGTAATATCAAAGCAATTGGACTTGAGGTTTTTAACAAGAAGTCGAAAATATCACTTTTTACCAAAAATATTCACCAAAATTAGAGAATTAAAGATATCATTACAAAATGAACAAATCTGAGAGAGATCCACATGTACCGTAAAATCTGTATTAGAAGCCGCATCCCTAATAGAAGTCACACCTATTCTTTTTGAATATCTGAGAACCAAAAATTCATCATTTCTCATATGTGTAGATGCTCTAATAGAAGCCGCATCCCCTCTGTTGCATTGTACCATTTTAATAGAAGCCGCGGTTTCTAATACAGTTTTTACAGTAGTACCTATATATGTAAAATCAAAGGAATTGGACTTGCGGTTTTTAACAAGAAGTCGAAAATATCACTTTTTACCAAAAATGACAAAAATATTCACCAAAATTAGAGAATT